TTGCACCTCTCAATTATTCTCTCTTATGTGCCAAGGAAGTCCTCATTAGAAAAACTGTGGTACATGCAGAATGGATAACTTAAGCAACTAGGTTTCTGCTCATTTGACATTTCCCACAGAGACCAGTAAGATGTGTCTTAATCATTGGTGTTTGGTCATAAGTTAACATAGTACCCCCCATTCTTGAGTGAGCAGTTTTCTAGTGTGATGGAATAAATGAAGAAAGAAGAGGTTCATTGTAACATCAAGAATATGGGGAAAAAATGACTTGGCATTTTATCATATCACTGTATATTGATTTGTGCCTCAGAAAAATTCAATGTGTTTTCTTACAGCTGTGATGTTCAGTTTGCTTGAAAGTAGATAGAAAAGACTTTCAAAAAAGATCTAGTTTTAAGGCTTGCTTTGAAGGCAATGGATACATTTTTATTATTGCCTGCAAATCCATCAAAACATTGAGACTTCTGTAATTATTGATTTTTAATGCATAAGCCAATATAAATTGATATAATGTTGTCTGTATTGAGAAATATTTTTTCTGTGGGAAAACCTAAAATCCTCTTACATGCTAAAACACTTTGATTTATTAACATGTACTATTTAGAGAAGATGAGTTGAAGAGCTATTTAATTAAAATTGTTGACTCAGTCTATTGATATGTTCCAATAATGTTAATGTTTTTTGAAGAATTGGTATTTTCGTAACTGTCATACCTTTCTGTTATACAGGCATATCTGGATTTATTGTGCTTCACTTTAGGGTGCTTCACAGATACTGTGTTTTCAACAAATTGAAGATCATGGCAACCCTGCATTTAGCAAGCCTACTGGTGCCATTTTTTCAGCACCTGTGCTCAGCTCACATCTCTATTTCACTTTTTGCTAATTCCTGCAATATTCCAATCTTTTTCATTATGGTTACATGTGCTAGGGTTACCTGTGATCAGTGATCTGTGATGTTACCGTTGTCCATTGTTATTATTTTGAGACACCAAGAAATGTACCCATATAAACAAACTGATTCAATCAATATTATTTATGTGTGTTCTGACTGCTGTATCCACCAGCTATTTACCATCTCCCTCCCTCTCCTGGGCCTCACTATTCCCTGAAACAAAACAATATTGAAATGCAACCAATTAAGAATCCTACAATGACCTCTAAGTGAAAGGAAGAGTTACATGTCTCTCACTTTCAATAAAAAGAAATGATTAAGCTTAATAAGCAAGGCAGGTCAAAAGCCAAGATAGGTCAGAAGCTGGGTCCCTTGTGTCAAACAGCTAAGTTGTGAATGCTAAGGAAGAGTTCTTGGAGGCAATTAAAAATGCTACTCCAGTTAACACATGAATAATTAGAGAGCAAAACAGTCCTATTGCTGATATGGAGAAAGTCTGAGTGATCGGAATAGAAGATCAAACAAACCACAACACTTTCTTTATCCAAAGCCTAAGCCACAGCAAGCCCTAACTCTTTTCAGTTGTGTGAAAGCTGCAAGGGATGAGGAAGCTGCAGAAGAAAAGTTTGAAGCGAACAGAGGTTGATTCATGAGGTTTAAGAAAAGAAGTCATCTCCATGGCATAAAAGTGCAGGGTGAATCAGCAAGTTCTAATATAGAAGCCGCAGCGAGTTATCTGTAAGACCTAGTTAAGGTACTAATGAAAGTAGCTACACTAAACAACAGATTTTCCATGTAGACAAAACAGCCTTAGGTTGGATGAAGATGTCATCTAATACATTCATAGCTAGAGAGAAGATGTCTAGGCCAGGCTTCCAAGCTCCAAAGGTGAGGCTGACCCTTGTTAGGATCTAATGCTGCTGGTGACTTGAAGTTGAAGCCAGTGCTCATTTACCATTCTAAAAATGCTTGGGCCCTTAAAAACTATGCTAAGTCTACCGTGCTGTGCTTTAGAAATGGAATAACGAAGACCAGATAACAGCAAATATGTTTATACATGGAATACTGAATAATAATATTCAAACTCACTGTGGAGACCTACTGCTCAGAAAAAAAAGATTCCTTGCAAAATATTATTGCTCTTTGACAATGTACCTGGTCACCCAAGAGCTCTGATGGTGATGTACAGGAGGTTAATGTTGTTTTCAAAGCCACTAACACAACATCCATTCTGCAGCCCTTAGATTATGGAGTAATTTCAACGTTCAAGTCTTATTATTTAAGAAATATATCTGGAAGATTGTAGCTTCCCCAGATAGTGATTCCACTGATAAATCTGAGAAAGTATATGGAAAACTTTTTGGAAAGGATACACCATTCTAAATGCCATTAGCCACATTTGTGATTCATGAGAGCAGGTCAAAGTATCAGCATTAACGGGAGTTCGAAAGAAATTGGTTTTATCCTTATGGATGAGTTTGAGGGGTTCAAAATTTTAAGGAGGTAACTACAGAGGTGGTGGAAATAGCAAGAAAACTAGAATTTGAAGTTGAACCTGAAGATGTGACTAAATTGTTGCAATGTCATGATGAAACTTGAATGGATGAAGAGTTATTTCTTATGCATGAACAAAGGAAGTGGTTTCTTGAGGTGGAATCTACTTCCAGACCCTATCTTTCCAATTCCCAGGAACATTGTTGAAATGACAACAAAGGCTTTAGAATACTAAATAAACTGAGTTCATTAACACAGCAGTAGGGTTTTTGAGATAATTGACTCCAATTTTAAAGAAGTTCTACTTTGGGTAAAATGCTATCAAACACCATGTCATGAGAGATATGGAGAAATATTTTATGAAAGGAAGAGTCAGTCGATGTGGCAAACTTCACTGTTGTCTTCTTTTAAGAAATTACCAAAGCCACCCTAACCTTCAGCAACTGTGACCCTGATCAGTTAGCAGCCATTGAGGCAAGACATTTCACTAGCAAAAATATAAAAATGTGCTGAAAGCTCAGATCAATAAAGTATTTTTAAATTAAGGTATGATATTTTGTTTTAGACATAATGCTATTGCACACTTAATAGATTACAATATAGTGTGAACATAACTATTATATGTATTGAAAAACCGCAAAATTTGTGTGATTCACTTTATTGCAATATTTGCTTTATTGTGGTAGTATGGAACTGAACTTGCAATATCTCTGATGTATGCCTGTATACACAATCTGATCTATATCCCCCCAAACAAGTAAGGTTTTCCATAAACTCTACTACATATAAAAAAAGTTCTTTTACATAATCAGTTGAGTAATAGCCTGATTATAAGACGCTGTCAGTGAATCACAAATAATTAGTAGGTAGCTTAGAAATGAAATGAAAAATAGAAATTTTTCTCACTTTTGCAATGTAATCATTAATATTTTGTGATCATTTACTTAATCAGACTTTTAAAATCATATATCAACAGTTATTTATATGGTAATGGTATCAGCAAACTAAAAAATGTATTAAAGGCACTGATTTAATCATTTTTAATAGGAATAAAATTATAATGAAAAATTATTCTGACAGAAGTGTTTTTAACAATTAAATTTCCCTGGCAAATCCATTTGAAAGTGCCACTTAACTTTTTAGAGATATTTTATGAGCTGTAATCATTTTGATTCAACACCTACTGAGTCCATAGCATATGCTGGACACCTGGGTGAGCATGGGTGTGTAATGGGCTCTTCACCAAGGAATTTCCCTGTATTGGAAACTGAAATTGGCAGACATGTCTAGTGAGGGCCTTAAGAGAGGCAAAAACAGATTACTCTGGGAGCCAAAGTAGAGAGAGGTCATATTTGGGCAACAGATAAATAAAATTCATCAGGTAGGTGACATTTGAAATGGACATTAATGTATTCATAGAGTTTTTACAGATACAGATCAATGTGATGACTAAAGAAATATTTCATGCCAGAAATATTTTCTCTAGCAGATTTACCAATCTCTTGGAGGTATTCATATGTTCCTAGAGAAACAATGCTCTTTCTTCAGATGAATCTTTTATGGAAGTATTACATATAAAACTTGTTGAAGTGCATTAGTTTCAATCAAGAAGGATGGAAAGCGCGAGATCTGGATTCTCCATCTTCATTTTTTTTCATGATTTGCCACAACTAACTGTTTTTTTTTTTTTTTAATCAGCCTCTCTGTGGATATATGCTATAATTTGAAATAGCAGATTTATGTTATAATATAATCCTTGGAAAGCATGACAACTATTGTTTTAATAATAAATAGATATTACAGAAAGTAAAGCTAAAATCAATTATATTGGCTCATAGGAATATATGAATTTGCAGTTCAGTGCTTTTTAAGGAGAAGGGAAGGGTTCACTACATGAGAAGGTTTTTATTGGAATCTCCAGAAAGGTATGAGATTTTTTCTTTTTGGCATTAATACAAGAGGACTTATAAAAATGAGTAACATTGAGGTCAAATGTAGCTCCAGGTGAGTAGTGCAAAATGTGACAGAAATGATAATCTGGGGCCTGGGTTGCTAGACTGGCACATGTGGTTGAACAGGTTATATTCTTCATGACTCAAGAATTTGTCATTCACAGCTGGCTATGGCACAGTCTTGAACAGAGCATCATGAGCAGCTGTTCAGGATGACCATGCAAGTGAGGATGCTGCATTTAATTTGGATAGCAATAGAAAACATTTGAATTTTCTTTCAGGCCTGAGAATTATATAGTTGCTGTTGGACCTTAAGGAAATTAATCTTTCAGTGTTTTGTAAAATGGCTCATATTCCAGAAACATGAATGTAGAATATTCCAAATGTCTGTTAGAAGAATGAACTGTGTTTGTCATTTTTTAGAAGAGAGAGAACAAAGCAAAAATGACTCACATTTTCTCAGGTGCCCAGAAGAATTGTTGTACCTTGATGGAAATAGAAAGGTCATGTTTATAGTAATTGGGACAGGGTAAGAGACAGAATTAATTCTATATTGAACATTTCAAATTATTATGAATAATTTTGTTATACTAAATGGACAGTTGGCTATACTTCTTCCTCCGAGGCTTTATTTTTCTTTGTTTTTTTCTCCTCTTTTAGGCTGAAGTCATCGATGTGAGTTATGGAATGGCAGATGATTTAAAAAGGATTAGGAAAATAAAAAATGTAACAAATCAGATCGCACTCCTGAAATTAGGAAAATTGCCACTGCTTTATAAGGTTGGTCCAAGGGCTGTTATTCAGTGGTTGGGTGAATATTTTACCTTGTTTTGTTGGAATTATACGCCTTTGTGAATGTGGAGTGTGTGTGTGTGCATATAGGTGTGTGAGAGAGAGAAGGGGAGAGAAAGAGAGAGGTAGAGAGTATCACAGAAAGATGGCTTTTCAACATTAGAACACTTTAAATTAAGATACTTAAGAAAAATCTATTTATGCCCTTATTTCTTTAGCGAGAAAATACCTTAAGTCAGGTAACATTGAGTTTGTGGGACCTTAATAAAATTGGCATACTCTTCATAATGGTACCTATCTGGAATAGTGAAAAATGAGAAACATGTTATCTTCATCTTATGACATATGTGAAACTTCTATTATCAGATGGACTAATTATCATGTCCTCTATGTTATCTAGATGATTTACACCCTTTAGTGATTATTTTGTCAACTATATAACTATGGTTACTAACTGCGATCAGGATTTTAATTAAAATAGAATATGCTAAGAGAAGCAGAATTTTGATTTATTTTATTTGGATGGAAGTTTATTGACACTTATCCACAGATACATTTACATAATTAAAGCAGCTCAATCTAAGTTTCTGATGATGAACCACCACAGTAGATAGCCACTACTGCTAATTCTCACTTCATTTCCTTTTTCTATTAAAAAAAAAAAAAGGTTAGTGTTGTTATGTCAGCAGAACTCTCTGGTTCTGAAGATATATTGGATTTCTCCTCATTCAACCTTAAATGAGCTTTGCTAATTCCCAGGTCCAAAAGCATTTCCAGGAATCTTTTGGCACACTCTATTAGGAAACTAGAGAACATCCTATGTCTTTTTTTTTTTATTATCTTCCAATAATACTCTTATCCTTAAGTCGGTGTTTAATAGTAGATTAGACAGGCCAGAATTTTAAGATACTCTTGAAAACAGAATATACAGTGATCTTAAATTTTTAATTTTTGCTGGATAAATTTTAATATGTATTAAATGCCTTAAAATAATCATATTTTGACCCAGAAATTCCTGTTCAATCAATGTATTCTAAGGTTGGGGTTGGGGTGGAGGGCGGGAAAACAGAGGTGATAAACATAGTGATAACCAATGATGTGACAAAATATTAGAAATGATATATACATCCAGTTTAGTATTTGAAAATCATGCTGCCGTTATACAGCTGAATATGGTATAACAATTTGATGTAAAGGAGAATATTTAATGACGTGTAAAAATCTTCATAAATCAAACAAGAGATCAAGAGAACATTTATAATAATTATAATACTAATGATTTTATTATTGCCTGTGAAGGTAACATTATTAATGACATGTGCTAGAAATTTTCTAAGTATTTAAAAAATGTATTATCATATTAATCTTCAAAAGAATCATATTGTTGAGATAGGGACTATTATTATCTTCAGATTATAAATGAAGTAAGACACAAAAAGAAAAAGTGACTGGCTCAAAGACAAAGAGCTAGTTAAGTGAAACAGTCAGGCTTTCAACCGAGGCAGTCTCATTTCAGATGCCAAGTCTTGAATGTGTATGTATACTTGTGTGTGTGGGGGGGGGCTGGAGTGGGGGGAGCTAGAATATATCAATAGATAGAGAATTAAGAGGTTAAATTAGAATTTTTAGTTAGGATTCCCTGATAAAGAAAAGTGAACATTTCAAAGTTAGCTACCAAACATCAATATTTTAAAGGAAATAATTAAAAATAGGTTAGACTATTAAACCTATCACTCATATCTGAGGTAGAAAAGGTTTGGAGACTGTGGGGAGAGGATTTTACGAAGAGGAATTTTGGAGAGATTTATGGTAAGTTCCACTGCATGCCTGGTGACTGGGGCTTCAATGGAACCACATGGAGGGCTTAATGTATGTCCCCTGCAATGTGGGGGACATGGTAGAATGGTGTCTGATTTTATTTGAGAAGCCTAAAGGTAAGGGATGGGTTTGCTAAGCATTTAATAAATAAATACAAAAAAATATATGTGTGTTGAGATTGGCCTGCATCCCGTGAATTGGGAGCAGAAAAGTATACATGCGTTTCCCATGGGTCAGTCATAAGCACATGTGACACAGAGCCAGTGTGGTCTGCCTTCACGCCTGTACTAAAATTGCCACTTGTAATGGTGACTCATTAGACAGTGACCAGCCAGATTAAAGTGCCATTTGTCTAGATCAAGTAAATTGCAGTAGGTACTGCTTCAGTTTATTCACAAATGCCCAGGAGATCCAAAGGTAGCTTTAAACATCTGTGAGCCCCAGAACATGTGAAGCTCCTGTAGGACAAGCACAGTAACATAAAGAATCTAATTTGTTTTCAGATTTCATCTCATACACAAATGCATTGTGTAATCAAGGCAATGTTTGATATCAAGAGGTGAGATATTTTTTACTAGATAACCTAGGTATTTTATAGATAGAAGAAATCATTTACATGTATAGGCTAAAAATAGAAATATTGCCTAAAATAATAAGACTTTAAAATCACAAAATATTTAACATAAATTAATAATCCTTTGAATAAAATTTGGCCTTCTAGTAAAAGACATGAACTACAGTTATTAGGACAGAAATCCATGTATTTAAAAATGTATATTTCTTAGGCCAATGCCTAACTCAGTTTATTTAAACCATCTAAGTTATGTTTACTATGTTCAAAAGCTCGTTGATTTAGGATTCTGAAATAGTTTGGCAGAAGAAAAAGTCTACATGCATGTAATATAAAATATTCATTAAAATAATAAACAGTTCAGTAAAAAAAAAAAAAAAAAAAAAAAAAAAAAAAAAAGAAAAATCCTACCCACTGAGCCTCTAATTTCTAACCCTTGTCCAACAACAGATAGGTAAGAGTATAGTTAATACATGGGGAAGGAAATAACAGACCACATCCCTTTCCCCAAAAGGAGACCTGAGCTGCTGGAGGGGTAAGAATATACAATTTTAAATCAAGAGTAAGAGTAGAATTTTGATCATGATGAGGCTAGGAAACCTAATTACTTATTTAAGACTACTAACTCAAATCGATTATAGGACTTTTATTATTAACAATAGTCAGAGTAATAGTAGGACAGTCCAACTTTTATGTAGATGTTTCAGTAAAAATGAACCTCTATGGATATTTTTAAAAGGGTAATGGGAAACAAAGTTCTATTGCTTTTGGTACATTACATGAATCTTGCTTGTTCAACCTTCCAGTGACAAAAAATGTGCGTGGTAGGGGCCAATTATATAACTGGTTAGACAGAATTATGGATAGTTTCTCCTTTTCCTTTGTTTTGCATTTCTAAATGTTCTATAATTGTTGTGTATTTATTTTATATACAGAAATAAGCTTTTGAAGATTCAGGTTAAAATATAACCATTGTAATTTTTTCTAACCTGGCCGGTCATGGTGGCTCACACCTGTAATGCCAGCACTTTTGGATCACGTAAGCCCAGGAGTTCAAGACCAGCCTGGCCAACATGGCAAAACCTTGTCTCTACCAAAAATACACAAATTAGCTGGGTGTGGTGGCATGCGCCTATAATGTCAGCTATTCAGGTGACTGAGGCACGAGCATCGCTTGAACCCGGGAGACGGAGGTTATAGCGAGCCAAGATTTCGCCACTGAACTCCAGCCTGGGTGACAGACTGAAACTCCATCAAAAAAAAAAAAAAAAAAAAAAAAAATTCTAACTGTGCTCACAGGTCAAATAAAGCAAGTATAAACCTTCACCAGTGTATAATGGATTAAAATAAAGCAAGTTTCTTCCTATTTGCTACAGATAATATTTACATTACAAAACCCTTTGACTGTATCTACAAAGTAGTGGGTTAGTGGTTTATCTGGAATAGAGCACAGTTATAAAGATCCTGATATCATTTTCCCTGATAATTTCCCTTCTAGGCCTATTAAATAAATTTAACAAAAATTTCTGTGTAGAATGCCCCTTGAGACAGAGCCTTGCCACAAACTTGGCATTGTCTTCTAGAAAGAGGAGACAGGATATCCTCTCTTCACCTTTCAATTTCCATTATAGCCATCTCTTCTGTTTTCTGTAGATTGTCGCAGAGATTTGGGGGAACTCATTGCTGCCGTATCTGTTAATATACATTCCATTGGTAAGAAAAAGGAAGCATGTATTAAACATAGTTATACAGCATGACTGCAGCCAAATTTGCTTCAACTATCCATCAAATATATTCTGGAGCTAACATTCAGAAATGAGGTAAAATGTAATTCAGTTGGGTTGAAAAAGGCAGAAGACCAACAGATTTCTTTATGAATCATAACAACTAGTCATGATTCTAAATGAGCATTTGGTCTGGGAACATGCAGCTGAATGAGTAAAGAGAAGTTCATTTTATTTTGGCTGTGCAGTAGTTACTAAATCAGAGTTTAAAAATGAATTTGGGAGGGAATCTCTACATCTGAGCTAGGGAGGGCAAAGGGGAAGCATAATTATGATATTAAATTATTAGATTATCTCTTGAAATGAGGAGAAAAATAATCTGCAGTCCTGAAGGAGGAGATCTCATTAGTTTGATCATAAATACTAAGAATGTATGTAATTTAATCTCTAGAAAGAGATTGATGAGAAAATCCCAACATTACAAGGTAGGAACTATGAACTGCAAATAGCTTTCAGATATGTGCTGTGAAATACATATCTTGCTGCAGAAAAAGAGTCAACCAAGTTCCCCGGGTATAGTTGTGTGCTAGTTTCCTTAGGCTGAAGCCTTGGAGGAAAGTCTTTAGGTTCATTTTAGCTATGTATTTATAACAGTTTATTTTATGGGAGAGTGCTTTAAACATTTAAACTTTCAGACAAAACATTAATTTGTCACTATGTACTCAGGTTTCTCTCTGACAACCTGACACACAGTAAAACAGATACGGAGACCCTCACAAATTCCCAAACTGCAGAATAGCACTTTAGTATGGAAATTAATTTTGTAAAATGCAATAAAAGCATTTGACTTTCTACTTAGGATCATTTCTACCAGA